GATGAATTTGTAGCTTATTATTCTCCATCCATTGCGTAACAATATTTAGGTCATAATTTATGTTGTCAATAAGATCATTTACATTGTGTGATGACGCGTAAATTTCCGTGTCATCAGCATAAAGACCTGGCGTGGTTTTTTGGAGACATTGTGGTAGGTCATTGATGTAGAGCAAAAATAACAACGGCCCCAGGATCGACCCCTGGGGGACCCCACATTTTAATTTTCCAACGGAGGATAGTATCCCATTAGCTACGCATTGTTGTTCCCTATTCGTTAGGTATGATTCAAACCAGAGTAATTCATTACCGCTAATGCCAAAGTTGGATCTCATTTTACTTAATAAAATATTGTGATTTATTGAATCAAAAGCTTTCCGTATGTCTAAAAATACTATGCAGTTTATTTTTCCCTCGTCCATGTTATTTAAGATTTCGTCACATATTTTAATGAGGGCTGATAAGGTTGAGTGTTGTGGCCGAAAGCCAGATTGATACTTTGAGAGAAGATTACTTTCATTCACGTACGTATACACTTGCTTAAACACTTCTTTTTCAAAGACTTTACTTACAATTGACAAAATAGAAATGGGTCTATAATTTTCACATTTACTTTTATCTTCAGATTTGAAGATAGGAATTACTCGAGCTCGTTTCCAATCGTTAACATAAATACCGTTTTGAAGAGATAAATTAAAAATATACGTTAAGGAAGGGGCAATAATATGGGCAGCTAGTTTTAGTATTTTCGCTGGGATGGCATCTAGGCCAGTGGATTTATTTGCTTTGAGGTGTTTCAAATTACAGAGGACACTATCAACCTTAATGAGAGAAAAATTAAATTTATTATTAGTTTGGGAATGGATGTTTGTGTCAGAGAAATTAAGATTTTCTCCACATTCGTTTCGCGTATCATTTTCATCAGGGTACACTCCAATGTTGATGAAGTGTGTATTAAAATGCTCCGCAATGAGATTAGGGTCAGTGATGACATTTTCACCAACTTTGAGCTCACTAATATAATTGGATTTATTTTGTTTCCCTAGCAGGGAATTAATTGTAGACCAGCATTTTTTTAAATCCTTAGTTTCTGCACATTCAGATATTTTGTTGATATAGAAAGTAGATTTTCTCTCACGTATTAGTTTATTAACTTTATTACGCAAACTCTTATAATTATGCCAATGTGAATCAGATTTCAATTTTATGGCCTTTTTCTTATGGTAGTCTCTTCTTCTCATAGCTGACCTTATTTCCGCTGTCATCCACGGAGTGGTGTGTTTCCCTGATCTTATATGTCTAACAGGAGCATGTTTATCTAGTGTTCCGATAAAAAGTTCCTTCCACTTATTCCAACTCAAGTTTGGATCACTTGTTGTGAAAACAGTTTGCCAAGGAATATTGGTTAGGTCGGATATAAATTCTGTTTCAGAAAAGTGTTTAAAATTACGAACTTTTTTAATAGTCGGCCTTCGTTTAAGTGGTTTGAATTTATGAATTGCATAGATGCCTTGTTCTCTCAATATCTTTTAGCCTATCCCGCATCGACTGCACATTTTCGTCTTCATGGTACTCGTTTATTGCTTTGAGACACGTTATCAAACTTTCACTTGTCATTTTATCGTACTCGTCATCACATCGTTGTCGCATGTGCTTCTCCTGGCTTTTCAATGTTCGTTCTCTAATCTCGACCAAAGGCTGCTTTCGTCCTTCCACAACAAACTCAGATCTAACTATCTCTCCATTTTCATTTAATGCCATCTTTTCATACTAAAATCGAGATGAAAATGGAATGGAATGTTTGCTTCAAGATTAATGATTAACAAATTACTTACAATACAGACCCTGTAAATAGATCAGACCCTAGAGAAATCTACAGTACATCTGATTATTGCATTATTTTTTATCCTGTCTATCAATCTCGGCCCTGTCTATCATAGCATTGATAGCAATGAAGTAAAATAATACTGTTTGGCACTGACCTTTCTTGGTGCAATTTGTTGCCCAACAGTATATTCGCCAGATGAAATCTTCTTCCTTATCTCAGCTTTCACCTTGTCAATATTCTGCGGAGTTGCAACCATAATTTCCCCTCCTTGTCCCCTAAGTTTCTTTCTCCGGACTCGTATATCACTTCCATCATTCTTACGTTTGAACCTGTCAATGTTCACGCCCTCTTTTTTTAGCCACTCCTGAGCTATCTGCCCTCCATTTTTTGCCAATTCCCCCTTGGTGTTGGTGATATTGTGTCGCCCAGATAGATCTGACCAGTTGACAGCAATACCATCAGGATAGCTTTCTATTTCTTCCTTCATTTTCTCTCGCTCGAATACTCTATTGTTCACATTCCCAACAGGATTACGTTTTTTCAAACCATTGCTCATCTCATTTCGCTTCTTCGCATCATCCTTGCTCTCAAATGCCATAGTGAGGCGTGATCTTCGTGCGGCTGATAATGATTGGCGGTTTCCATAACACCTTAATCATGTGATTACATTGATTTATTAGTTTTATTACATTTTATAGCTTTCCTAGCAATATATTTACCCTTATATTACGAGTACGTTTATCATAATCTGTTACAAATGAAATTTATAATTAGTGAAATTTAACATACGTACCTCATTACAGATGTACTCTTCCAGTGTTTTTCAATGGACGTTTTGGCTTTACGTAATTGTTTGCGTCTTTCTCTTTTTCTTTCAGTGGCACTCCTACTCGTCTGAATGTTCAGGGTCGGAAGAGTCGTCAGGGCTTTCTCAAGAGGGACGTTAAACACGCGTTCGAAAACTGGGTTGATTTCGTCGTAAACCTTCTGAACGCCAGCTTGATACTCACGTCGGGTGCATTTCACTTGGCCGGGTTGTTGACTTATTTTACCCGCGATATTTTTTGCCACGATCGCTGGATTTTGTTTTAAACAGCCTTGAAATTCCTTGGATTGGACAGGAAAGAACGACTGTTGTATTGAATACTTGTGGAAACAGGTACGACAGTCTGTCAAGCTATGTTCGGCCTTGTGTTCGATCGACAATGCCTTCCAGTTATCTGCGGAGAAAGCCTCGAAATATTGCTTGCGTTCCGTCTTTTTCCTAGGATTCCAGTTGCTGATTTTCTTGCGCAAGTCTGGCAGTTTCCTCATGAAGGTTTTAAAGTCAACTGCGAACTTCTTGCCGGGGAAACTTTGGGAGAAATGTTCATGAATAACTTGAACTGTACGCACGCGATGCTGATATGGCGTTTCATTGTTCACGCGCTTTATTTTGACTGAAGCATCTCTGGTAATTCGCCAAATTGCTGCCTTCGCAAATCCACACGAATGTGGGTGAATAAGACTTACAACCATACCGTTAAAGTTAAACACTTTGATAAATTTTAGGTATACGCGCACTTCGAGACGTTAGTCGATCGAAGCAAGTTTTGAATCTGGCGCCTTAATTTTAATCACGCGCGTCTAGTTTTGACAGATTATAATCTTAACTCATTAACTGGCAAGCTGTTACAATGTTACCACCCCCTAAAGTGGCAAGCAATATGGCGAATGCATGATTGAATTCCAAGCTTTCACCAAAATGGCAATATCTCAGAAACAATTGCATAAAAAAGTCTGATCTTTTCAATCAAACATGAATGATATATGATTGACCAAATTTAGTTTAGATGACCTTGCATACCTATATATATCATTAGTTTTTTCAGTCAGTATTTTTATTTATCAAGCAGTGACACTTTGTTTTTCATGTCACTCATCACCTAAAGGGGCAATATCTCCATAAATTTATATATAAAAAAAAAAAAATCATTTACTAAATTAATACATATCTATATTACAACCAATTTTCATCTTTTGGGATATGAATTACGAAATTATCAAAAAATTTAAAAATTACTTCTTTGCTTTTTTGAGGCATCTTGTTTACAACATGAAATTTAGAACGGTAACTAATTGTTCAAGTTCAACAAAGTGTGCAAGCCAAAACACAGTGTTTGTACATCTTTAAAGTTTTTTTGATTGCTTCAAATATATTTAAAAGGACACATAGTGCTTAAATTTATTTATTTTAATATAAACCAAGGATGGGAAAGTGAGAAAATGGGAATTTTCTGAGGTGTTTTTAACACAGACAATGACAGCCAACATTTTGAAAGGCACTCTGCGGTGACAAAACTAAAAGCTATTCACTTCTGTACTCAAAGCACTGAAAAGCATCATAAAGAGAAAAACACTTTAAACACACATCAGTTAAGACTTTTAGCTCAATATTCTCATGCTTCTATTGGGAAAGCAACGGTTTAAAAGCCAAAATTATTTTGCGCGGCAATGTAGGCTGCTATAAAATGTCAGCCAGGCGGTTTCTTTTGAAGTCTGGCTCTGAAAAACAATCTCTTTTTTTGAGTTCGAAATAAGCCTTCATAAGGACTATTGTGTAGAAATGTTATCTATATGTTCACATGAAAAAGATAACCTAATATTCAGGTATTCCACATAGCTATAAAAGGGTGAAATAAGAACTTTCATCTTTGGTTGTTTGTCAGACGTGAGAAACCACATTAGTGCCATTTTGTCGTGTGTGCTATTTTATAAAATAAACACCTCAAAACCATAAACTTTTAGTTCAGAAAATTACAAAGTTTCCCATAGAGATTATTAAAAATGTTCTAGTGAAGCGATTTCATGATAAATAAGTGAGCAATGGGCCCAAATGAACTGCTAAGGTTTGTTTTTGTTAGGACTTCAATTTCATGGCTTCCCGCAAAGGAAGCCCTTTCAGAGAGAAGCGACATTTTGCAAACAACCGTCGCGACCTATTTTGATAACTTTTCCTTCTGATTCAACGTGTAGTTACTAGAAAATGATGTTGCATCAAACATTATTATCTGCTTTATCGATTTAAAGTTTTATAGGGGATATAAAAAACAGTAAAAATGCATTTTGAAAGCTTTACAACTCAAGTGCGGATTTTTTGAATATTCGCACGCGGCAAGCAAGCGCGTTTATTCAATACACTTATTTTACACCACAATACGTCTGAAACGAGTTTTCATTTTAACACTAAATTGATGAAAATAGATATAACAGTGATTTTGGAATATCCTACTTATTTAGTGTAATTTAATACTCTAAGTATTCTTGCCAAAAAGGTCGAAAAGGTCACGTACGTACGCACACAGCAAGTGTCGTTTGAAATATACTTTAGCTAAAATAACAACTTGAACAAGAAGACCAACAATGGGGTCACGAAAACAGTCGAAATTGCGCCCAAATTTGCATAAACAGTTCGTCTAAAAAGATAACTTTAAACTAGATTCAACCAACATTAATGCGGTCGAATTTTGTGAGTGTTTGATCGCATATTTCTACTCAAAAATACCCTTTAAAAATCGTATCTGCTCACTTGAGTTCCGTGTTCATCTTTCTTGTGATTTCCGACTTCTATTTTTAATAAAGTTTG